AACGAAAAAATGACAAGTTGGTATTCTCAGCACAGCAATTACGGGACTTGAACTGCGGAGCTTTTTAACTGAACAAGAAATTATGTCTGTTTATAGAATTAAAGAGAAAGTATTATCACATAAAACGAAACAACTTACATTGAAAGAAATGTTTAATAAAGTAAACAAATAAATATTAAGCTTCTTTTTTTGTAAATTTTGATACCCTTTAGATCATAATTGTTCTTTATTTCCTAAGATAAGGTTTCATATTTTTAATTTTAGAATTTGTGCATGCCATCTTACGAGATTTAAGGTGATGATCTATAATCCGGAAAAATCGATAATCCGGAATCGCGAAAGTCCCGACGAGTCCGGATTAACGACTTTTGATTGTATTACTTTACGAAGATTGTATACAGATTACTTCCCTTGTACTGTTTCCTCAAGGAAATGTAATACATTTATGATATGTACCATTTGTTATTGCAGTTTTTCAATTTTGCACAGAGAAGGGCTGATGTTCTCAAACATACACAGTGTGCATACACAAAAACACAAGGACAATATGAGTTATATTGAAAAAAAAAATAATAATAATAATTAAAAAATATCTGAAAGGTTTCAGATTTTAAATTACGTCCAAAGGGGCATTTTTTTAATGTTTTGTGTGCTACATTTATTTATTAAATATCATGTTCTTTGGATTTAAACCATAAAATTCAGTTCAAAAGCAATGTCACAAAATAATTTTAAAATGAGCATATCTTTAGAATTTCCGATACATAGTTCCGTGCGCTGGAGATAAAAAGTCCCCCTTCCCTGTAGAGTGTTGCCATTGCTCACTTTAAAAATTGTTGAGTTTGTTACTCAAAAATTCGTTAACGTTTTACAAAATATGAAATCGATAATCAAACAAATTCCAAATTTCAAATTTGGTCTTCCACATGTCCATATTTGTAGGAGGATTACGTCATTCAAAATTCAATGGCTCTATGTATCGTTGTTTTATTTGGTGGCAACAGTTTGAAAAGTGATTCACCGTTTATAGTGATTCAGTGCAAAACAAAAACAATAGTCCTTCAGGGGCAAAGTCCCTTTGGACTAAAAATGAAAAATTAAATTTTTCTGTGGAAATAAAGTTATTGATGCATAATGTGTGTTCTTTTCCTTTTTACTGGGGCACAAATAGCCCCTGAATATGTCGGATCATGCTGCAGCTTAATTTAGAAAAATATTTCCTGGCAGCAAATATTCACATGCAGGGACCAAAATGGCTGCAATTGTTAAAGGAATGTGAAAAAAATATTTTCAGTTATTGATTGCTTTAAAACAGTTCCATTCTACCTCTCTATGCATGGAAGCAATAATACCAATTCAAAACTGTATCTAATCGTTGTTTAATCCAATGTCTTCAGAAATTGAGTTTAGTTGCTTTCTGTTTCCACTTTAGAAGAACATAAGGACAGAATAAAGGACTCTTTTTTCCCAAATGAAATATAAAACTGATTTAAAATGAATTCAGAAGAGATTTTTTCATGGTGTTACACATGTATCTCGCATAACTCAAAAACAAGTAGCCTCAGAATGCTGAAATTTATTAAACTGCTAAACATGTGTGTGCACCTCCTTTGTTTGCATAAGCACCAAAAGTAAAATAAACTTAATCTTGGATTATGGTAACTTGGCGATTTTTTGGCGAAAATTTGGCGACCAACTCTGCTACAGCAACCCTCTATTTTTTTTTTCGCCGCCATTTTGTCTTCACGAAGTAAAGACATGTTTCTTTTCTTTTTATTTACTCAACACTTTTTCCAACAATCTGCTAGCCGAATTACACTTATGCTAGAAATTTTATGGAACAAAACTGCTTAATCATGACAAATATTAACTGCAAAATTGGGAAAAAGTGCAGAATCGCAAACTCCTTGCCGCGTTTTTCAGAATCGCACATACACAGTAACCATGTACACGTCGACTTATTTTTACTTAAAAAAACATCCCAGAATTGCACAAAAATGGCATTGCGCACACACTCTTAACTTTATCCATCTACACTGCTATTTTCTCATAAATTACAAAAATTTGCACGAAAATGCAGGAAAATTTTGTGAATCTTTAAACTCGGTAAAAAGCACATATATGAAATTACCTGATCGCGAAAAAGTATATACCCTTTCCAAGGATGAACATTTCCACGTATAATATAAATAAAATATCCAAAAACTTTTACCTCTAAATTATCTATTATAAACGTCACCAACGAATTTATAACGCAAACATTAAAAATGGTTACAAATACTTAGTGTCAAATATTTAAATTATTTCCATGCACGTTTACTTCAACTGAAACGTATACCAAATTGCTACAAACATATAATTCACAAAATAACTATCATTTAATTAAAATATAATTAAACCATGTACACGTCGACTTATTTTTACTTAAAAAAACATCCCAGAATTGCACAAAAATGGCATTGCGCACACTCTTCACTATATCCATGTACACTGCTTTTTTCTCATAAATTAGAAAAATTTCACGAAAATGCATGAAAATTTTGTGAATCTTTAAATTCGGTAAAAAAGGACATATATGAAATTACCTGATCGCGAAAAAGTATATACCCTTTCCAAGGATGAACATTTGCACGTATAAAAAATAAAAATATCCAAAAACTTTTACCTCTAAATTATCTATTATAAACGTCACCAACGAATTTATAACGCAAACATTAAAAATGGTTACAAATACTTAGTGTCAAATATTTAAATTATTTCCATGCACGTTTACTTCACTGAAAACGTATACCAAATTGCTACAAACATATAATTCACAAAATAACTATCATTTAATTAAAATATAATATAATTAAAAAAACTACTTAAAATATAAATAAGCACATACATTAAATTAATAAAAATTAGCTTACAATCCTAATTACTTTAAACTAAATCATTGCTAATAACAATTTTCCAATAATACCATATTAATTTATTTACTCCTTACATTTAGAACAATGCATAAAAATAATATCCTCAAATAATTAAAATACTAAACTTACCTAATCTTCTTCAGAATCTTGATTACGTGGCGGATAAACTTTTCTTATTTCCCCCGCTAAATAAAAAGCAAAATTCTCTTTATCATAATGCTTCGGAATGGCGCTTTTTATAGCACTCCACGTGCCCTCTATTGTATTCGTATGTGCACCTGTTTCAGGATCTTTAAAATCATACTTATGGTTCACAGCAAGATGTTGAAAACCTTCATCCTCCAAACAGACATATGACTTCCAGCAAAAAGATATTATTATTGTACCAGGTAGAATATATTGCTTAATAAAACTTAATAAGCAATCTTTATTTCTATCTCGCACAACCTTAAAAAAACACTTATTACTACCCCTTTCAATCCCACTAAATACCCATTTCGAATTCACTTTAGATAGGGCCATGGGATCCAAAAATTAACCAACACTATTTCACCCAACACAGAATGAAGCTAAATACGAAATACTATAAAGTACTGCAGATATTTTTCCAGATTTCCTCCCTTTTCTAATTAAAGAACTGTAATTCGTCCATTAATGTCACATGACATATCTCATGATCTCTCATTTCCCTCACACAAAATAATGCGTAATCGGAACTGAGTACTTCTCACATTATTCCCAAAGTCCTAGGTAGTAACCTTTATCGCCTACCAAAATGTCGCCAAACTACCTGTTACCATATTCCAAAGATTAGCCAATAAATCTATACATATACTCACTCTGTTACTTGGCTCAATGAGCTCAGTTTTTATTCTTATATATGGATAAATTGTGCAATTTTTGCTTTAAAATGTTTGAATTATGTTCTTATCTTCCGGTTAAGGCTCTTATGCTTTATTTAAATCTGTATGCAATATTTGTAGAATTATCAACAATTTAAAAGTTTAATTTTAAAGCCTAATTTTATTTTTACCATAGCAGCCATATTTGTTTACATATGAAACTTGGCAAAATAGTAAATTAATTTTTTCATCACCTTCAGTATCTTTTTGCCGAGTCCGACCAAAAGGAAAATTTTAGATTTTGTGCATCGAAAATTCTGCCTTCTTGCCTGCTGGCCGAATTGCTTGTTTTTTTTTTTTTTTTTTTTTTTTTTTTTTCTCCATAGAAACTAATTTTAATTGTAAAAGTTGTTTTTTTTAATTGTTTTTATGTGTTTCTATATCTTTTAATTTTTAATGAAAATATTTTGAGTTTTTATGTATTTTTGCTTTTCTTCGAAGTGAGAAATGAATTAATTGAATGAGAAATATATCTCTAATGAAATTCGAGGAAATAAGTGTTTCATATTAGCAGCAAATATTATTGCCAGTCTCTCTCGAACAGAGCAGAATGTTTATGAGTAGCGCATGCGCTTTAGGTAAGCAGCACTGAATTGTCTATGAAAGACCGTTTCGTTTTATTTGTTTAATTTCTTTTGTACATTGTTTTTTATTAATTATAGTATTTGAATAGAACATGTGGCAATGATTATCATATAATTTTTTTGCATTCTGAGTTATAAAATGAATGAAATTTAATGCTGTTAAGCGAACCTAGTGTCAGAGTGTCGTTATGATAAATCAATATAGTGAATTTTAAAGAATGCTTTTATTTTATTGTAGTTTATGTGCTATCATCAAAGTAGATTTAATTCAATTTTATAAGTTTAAATGAAATGCAGGAAAAAAGGCATATAATTTAATATTCCGTAAAAGGAAGTCATGTGGTGACATCAGATTTTTATAACATGAAACAAAAAATAATTTCAAAATCTCTATTAATACATAGAAATTGCAGATTTGTAGAAATGTATAATATTGTTAAAACAAATGTAACTGTTATACATTTAGTACAAATGAAAGTTAATGTATCATGTGTGGTTTTTTTATATAAAAAAGACCATGCTTTTTTGGTTGGAAAATAATTATTTAAGGCATTGTCTAATGCACTCTAAATATATATATTATTTCTTTTTACCTCCAGAAATCTCTTACTCTTTCACATGAAGATCCAAACTGTAAATGTGACTTCTATGCACCAAGCAAAGTATTTTCAAATATCCATAAAAAAAGTGTAAGTGTATTATTTTATGTTATGAAAAAGTTAGTATCAATAATTCATTCTGTCTTTTAACATTCCTTAGCACTTTACTCATCTAGTGGGTAATTAAATTATGGGAAAATACTCATGATTTTCTGCTTAATAACTTAAGGATTATGTGCATGTATCATTTTCTGATGTTCCTATGTAATAATTTCATTGCAAGAAGATACCATATATTCCCGTGTATAACATGCACATAAATTTCAAACTATATCTTTAATTTTTAGGTATATTTGCTGTATAATATGCACCCATTTCTTTATGAATAAACCTGAAAGATACATGTGTGATGGTCTTATCTATCGAAGTCATTCATTCAAAGATTTTTTCCCCCACTCTTTTGAACAGTGGTATATTGAATCAACAAGTGATAAGGCAAACAATATATGTGTGGTGGAAATGCTTGAGAGTGCATGTGCTTTTAAATAATTCTCCTAAGAAGGTGGCTTGTATTCAGTGCAGATATGCATGAGAATGTTATTATAGGATTTTGAGAAAAGAGGGACATAATTTGATATAAGAATGTACTTTTGAGTCGAATGAATTCGTGGAATTAAGCGTCAGATGTTTTCTCTTTCTGTAATCATTTGAAGCCGTGATTTTGAAGTGAACATCGGAGACTTCAGTAAATCACATTGCTTTAGTTGAAATAAGGGTGATCTAGTATTCCTTTTGGCAGTAAATATTTCTGCTGCCAAGCTAAACAAGTACATTTCTGATTTCAAATGCAAAGACATTCAGTTTGCAAAAGAAAATGGAAATTATGCTGCAGCAAGTGTGTTTCATGTTGGGGAAAGCTCTATACATGAGTGGAAGAAAAATGAAACTGCAAAAATTAATGTGGCTTAGAGTAAATGGCCTTTGCATAAGAAGTAATGAAATGGCCGACCCTGTAAGAAAGTGCTGAAAACTGGGTTCTAAAAATCCGTTAGAATAGATTAATTCTAATAAGAAACAGCGCATGTGTATTTCCCTTAAAGTGGGCAAAAAGGAGTCCAAAAGGAACTGAAAACTTTAAAGCTACTTTGAGTTGGTGTATTTGATTTATTTCATGAAATAATTTAGTTCTATTGGGATGGGGAGAAAGTTCTGCAATTGTTCTGAAAGACTGGCACAACAACCTGATAAGTTTCCAAAAGTATGTGATTAACCTATGAAGGCCCCCTCCCCCAAAAAATATTTACTGTCATGTATCGCAAAAACGAATAAAACTTCAGCAGTGTTTGGTATGACACAAATAAAACAATTGATGTCAAAGGGGGGGAAGTGGTTCACATAAAAACAGTAAGTCACGAAAAATCTCACCGTAGCATAGTGATTTCATATTTAATGGTACAAAATTAAAACCCATAATTATTTTTTTAAAAGAAAGAGGTTGCTGAAATGCAATTTGCCAAATGATGTTTTCATTTGTGTTCGTAAGAAAAGATGGAGGGCAAAAATGATATATAATTTTAGAATAGAAATGTTTGGCAAAAGCGTGGGTTATCTCATCTAAATGATAATATGAAGAAATTCATGAAAGAATACAACACAGACATGGCAGCTATTCCAGGTAAATTATTATTCAGCCTTTAGATGTATGTATCAATAAACCATTCAAAGAAAATTTAAAATGACAGTGGAATACATGGATGTTAAAAAGTGAAAAAACATTTACAAAAGGAGGCCAGATGCATTATGCCAATCTAGAAAGAGCATGTGAGTGTATAATAAAAGCACAGAAGGAAATTTAACCCATTATTCAAATATTTAAAAAAGAGGGTATATCTGACAATCTAGGTAGAACAGAAGATGATTATTTATTTATGGATCAGAGTAATAATGATGGTGAAAGTGAAACAAAATTTGATGATGTGCCTGAAAATATTTTAGGAGACCAGTATAAGTATTCAAAATTATGACTGCATTGGTATTTGAATATTTATTTATTTACCAGTTAAAAATATCTTAAGTACAGGAAAGAAACATATCATGATGATACAAACTCAAAGAACAAATACATAGTAATTGTTGTTCTGAGCTTATCATTACTATGGCAACTCGCTACTATGCAATGAATTTAGTTGTTGCCACAATATAATGGAAGATGCATGCAACAAACTTTTCATATTATCCCACAATGAAAATTTTGTAAGTTCATAGAGTATGTCATTTCTTTTAAATAAACAGCAATCTAAGTTTTCTATGCTTATCTTTCCCTTATTTTTAGGTCCAGCATATAATACACACCTGTAAATTTCAGTCTTATTTTTTGTAATAAAAGTGTGCATTATATGCCATAATGTACAGTATATTAAATTTATAACTGCTAATTTCAACAATTAATTATAAGTAGTAATTTCCGAATTTTGGAGTGGAAAAGGCTTTATTGTATTGTTCAATACTTACAGAATTTTTATAAACAATTTAAATGAATGAACATTTAAAATTAATTTTTGTATATAATACTTTTTAACTATACCAATAAAAGATCTATACTAAGTATAACTGCTGCTTTAATTAAATTTTATATTATTTTATAAATAGGCATAAAATTGTAATCTGTCCAAGAAATTTATGAATAGATAAAAGACTAAAGAAATTAATAAATGTTCTTCATGAAAGTCAGTAACAATGAAGTAAGCAGAGAGCAAGGAAATTAATAGTTTTTCATATGAGAAGTCTATAATAAGTAATTTTATCTCTTTATTTAAAGCCATATGTTAAAAAATACTACTTAACATATTTTCCTATTGACCATGGAAGTTGACAGATTAGACTGAGTTTAGGCGAGTTCCACCAAAACTTTGCCAAGCATTCCAGTGACTCTTTATTTAGTTAGATATAATAACCGATTACTATTTATTTAATTAGTTTATCAAGAGATAGAGGCTTGGGGAAATTTGCATTTCTCTTTCGCGATTGCACAGTGCTGAAGATACATAGAATCCAGCACTTGTAGTAAAACCCAAGAAGATGTCTGTCTCTGTGTGTCTTCCTGACATCCTGGTTAGTGATGTGGCCAGTAGCCATAATTCTCTTCAGTGTAATGCCATGATCTGATGTATCGAATCCTGACATGGAAAGGATCGGTCGAAGATTACTGTGGAAATAGGAAACTAGGTATAGGTCGAAGATTACAGTGGAAATAGGAAATGCTCCAGACAGCATTTTATATGAAGTATCATAGGGAATGGCTGCAGCCAAGTGTCTGTCGATATACCAATCAGTTAATCATTGTTATTTAACTCTGATCATTTCATGTTATGTTTATTCTTCACAAGTCATAGGTTGATATATCCTGTTCATCGGTTATGTTAAGCTTGAGAAAAGTACCCATTAAGTTTATGTTTAACTTACAGCACGTATGCTCATTTGGGTTACAGAAAATGAGGGTTATATAAGTCTAAAAGCAAAGTGTAATTCTTATGAATGTTCTGTGATGTCATGCTTATCCATTGTTAATGATAAATTGCACCATTTAAAAGAGTCAGTGGCAAAATACATAAATCTTAAAAAAAAAAAAAAAAAATAATGAATGCATTTAAATGTGCACATTACATCAACATGTTTTGGCGCATTTAAAAAATCTGCAAAAATATCAGTAGTTAAAAGTAATAAATTGTTTAAGTAATTTTGCATTACCACCTGAAGGATCTGAAATTTAATCATACATTTCTAAAACAAGTACAGCAATTTATTATTTAAGATTTGGTATATTAATTCTTTTAAAAAATTATTAAAATATATGTGCTGAAAAATTGAGATTAAAAGTCATAAAACAGTTAATCGTCCATGATTTTAAACTTTCTCCATAATTTTGGATAAGTTTTCTTTTGGTGTGGGGAAGGGAATGAGTATAATATACATAGCCAGGAAGAAGAAGAAGGAAAAAAAAAAAAAAAAAAGGTTAAAAGCAGCAGCATTTGAAAAATAATTCTTGCTAGCGGAATACTTTTTCCCTTGAGTGTACACAGATGGCACTAGTTGTCCAGTATCAGTTCTGTGGATAGGTAGAGTAAGTTCTCAGATGCGTCACAGTGATCCAAACGTAAAGTCTTATGCTGCAATCATAATACCTGCATCACCAGTCAATTAACAAAATTGCTGATATCTGTAGTATAATTTTATAATCCAGAAAATATCCTTTTGGCTTTAATTTATGTAATGATGATTCAGAAAATTATGGAAAATACCTTTCTTAACAAAATATGAATATAGAATATTTTTAATTTTATAAATTCTATATGTCATCTAACTAGATTTAAAATGATAGTCTAGAATCTGGAAGTTTTTGAAATCCAGAATTGAAGTTCCGACAGTTCTGGATCTGGGACTTCGTACTATGGAAAAATTCTGTGCAGAAATTTTGATGAGTTTAAAAATTTTTCATCTGTATTTGGAGACATCAGTAGTTGAGAATAGTAGGACAGTTATAACTTTCAGATTAGATGCAGGAAAGCAATTTCTTAAACATTTCAAGCTCTAAGCACGTTTTTATTCTTATGTTTTCTCTTACTGTTGTTATAAAGTATGTGGAGACTTTGGTTATTACAAAAATTACTAATACTTTAATAGTACTTTGTTCTTATGACTCAAAATAAACAGGCTTTACCAAGAATGATAAGATTTATAAATAGTATTTTATTTATTAATATTTTATCAGTACTTTTAATAAAGCTGCATTTTTGTCTAGTTGTATATTTTGCCATTTATTTTATGAGTTTGCAGCTGTAGATTAAAAATTATTATTATTATTTAGATTCGGAGTTTAGATGTGTCTGGTGGAATTGGTGTTTCTGTTTGTGATGAAAATAAACTTCTTATTTGGGATTCAAATAATGGCTGTGTTCGTGTAAGTAAAATGTAATTGGTACTTATGTATTAGTGCAACTACTTTGAAATTTCGGTGAACTGTTACAGAAGAAGATTGATGATTTATAATTGAAATATGTATATATTACATGCACATTTTACATTTGAATTAAATATTAATCCAAAACATTAAACAACAGATTAATTTACTTTTGGATTTTTGTTTCTTTTGTTCTGGTAAATATTCACAATGATCGCTTTCAGAATAGATTCAAAGTTTCCTTTAGCAGTTTTCCTGCAAAATATTTGTTCCTGGAGAAAATTTACTGCAATTTCTTCTGTTTTAGGCAAATTCCATGAGTGCATATTTTAACATGAGTTTGAGGGAGAAACAATATCAGCATTAAATGTATAAAAGCCTTTGAACTTCGGTTGCAAGAAAAAGAAGGCATACAGAAATGGCCAATTTGGGTACATTTCTGTTATCGGGACTGGATTAAGAAATCTATGTATGTATGTGCATACACACATATACATATATACATACATGAACACATCCATCCATCTATACAGGCATACATGCATATATTTCTGAATCGGGTCCTGATAACAGAAAAGTACCATAATTTGTTTCCTTTAGCAATTTTGCAGCAAAATACATATTCCTAGAGAAAACTTACTGCAATTTCTTCTGGTTTAGGCTAATCCCATGAGTGTATATTTTAACATTTTAAAGCAAAAAATATCAGTATTTATGTATGAAAATCTTTTGAACTTCGGCTACAAGAAAAAAGAGGCATACATCTTTCTACTACTTCTAAGATGGTTGCAATAAGTAATATATTTATTCCACATATTTTGATAATATTTTGAAAAAATTCATGACAGTTATTAATCTTGTTTTTTATATATATATGTATCTTGATATTGTCAGATCTGACAAATTCTAGAAAAATCATACTTATGAATTCAGTGAATATTTTTCTACTTGTCTTTGTGCACTTCTCACATTTTGGTCATTATTATTTATTATAAATGTAGTAGCTTATCATCTGAACATCTTAAATTTTTTGCAGTATTTAAAATATTTTCTGCATCCTTGTAAATGAATTAACATCAGTAATTTAGATTTTATGCTTTGTAGCTCAAATTTGCCAATTACAAAATAAAAATCATTTCAAAATTTTTTATTCTGAAAATTTTATATCGTTGTCTCAATAAGCTAAATCTCTTATTATTTATTCTAACTTTTGCAATTCTTATTAAAGAATCTAATTAAGTTTAGTATTTTTTTTATAATATCTAAATGTACCATTAAGTATGTGGATTTTTTTCAAGAGTGAAAGCCTTTGAATTCATGGAGAGAAAATGAACAAAGAATTGAGTCATTGTCAGTTTCTTTTGTAATGTAAAAGAATCTCTCTTGGGTAACATGCATGCATTCTATGATTACCTTTTATATTTTTAACTTCTAATTCAATTAATTACATTATTCTGTGTTGAGGTGAAGATTAAAAGTCAACATTAGAAAATTCTGAGAATTTATTTCAGTTATGTAAATGAAAGGTTAGTCTTAATGTGGCTTGAATTACTGCAAAGGCGATAAATGCTTATTACATTTCAATACATAATTTCCAAGCTCTTTTCCTTCGGAATGATATTTTACAGAAGTTTCGGATACTGTTGCAAGGATTTTAATTGTGGGATTATGCAGAATTTTGTTTATTAGGAAGAATGTGTTGTTAGGAAGACATCCATTGAAATTACTGTAATCCCTGTTTTTATTTTGTATTACACTGAGGTATTTTTGTGTATTTATTTTTATTTCAAATTGAGATGCTTACATCTGTTTAATTTCCTTAGAACAAAAGGAGTGCTTATTACATGCGATGTTGTCTTATGGTCATTTTGCTAGTATTTACATTCAGTTTGTTCCTTTATGGAAATTTTTAGAGGAAATGTGCAGTCTACTTTGAAATATATGGGCTTAAAACATGGCACTTGAATATAATTTTATTAAATAGATTTATTAAAGCCCATAGTTTGTTTGGAAATGAATAACTATTTCTTTTTTGTTGCTCTTTATATTATGCTAATTTAAGCTGATTTTTTAAAAATTATTTATTTATTTTTATTTGAAGTTGATATGCTTACATCAATTTAGTATAACTAAATATAAATACTAGTAAGCATGAAAAAGAAAGCAATGACATAAAGAAATTTTCTTCGCATTTTTTTAAAAATATTCTTATGAGCAAGTTTAGTTATCAGTAATCTTTAAATTTTATTTTTACCCAATCTGACAGAAGGGAAACAAATCTTGCTGATAGAAAAGGCAGCCATAGTATTTTTTATCATTTCTTTCTATTTTGCATGCAAAAGGAATTACTTTGTATTACACAAAGTAATTATATAATTTTGTATTGCACATTGCTTTCTATCTGTTTTGTGTGTAAATAAAAGGGAAGGGACAGAAGATACGAATTCATAATTATGTTTTTACATTCAGTCTTTCTTTTTATCTTAATAATAAGATTAGATAAAAAAAATCTTGTGATCAGAGTTAAACAATTTTAAGTTAAATTTTTACCTGCTTTTAATTTGAAATGGAAGATAATTTTTTTTTTGTTGACTATTGTAATATGTATGTCATTACATTTACAATAGTCACCTACGTTTAATTTATTGATTCTTGATGTGTTCATCAAAAGAAATGCTTTCTATACTTTCTTTCTATACTTAGCTGAAAGCTACTTGATAATTGCAAAGTCTGGAACAACAAATTTACTTTAACAGTTTTTTCTTTCATGTTGACCCATTATTTTTAGAAAATTGGTGAACTACATTTTGACGTGTATCATTTTCTTCATTTCACTATATAAAGTATGTTTAATATTATTTCATTTTGCTTATTTCTTAACTATCATGTGTTTTTCTCTTTCCCCTTCTTTTGTGTATGGGAAATAAAGTGTTATTGCCTGACTATTAAAAAACTTTCAAAGCAATAATCTTTGACAAGCTGTGGGTTTCCTGTGTGCAGGTAACTGTATGGAATTTATGTGGCATTGTAATTTGCAGCTTTTATGGAGAAAGTAAAATTAAATAAACAGCCTATTAAAAATAAGTTTAATATGTTCTGAAGATAACAGTTTTATTTTGCATATTGGGGGGGGGAAGTTTGAAACGAAGTCTGATGTATATATTGTAAATTTTATTCCGACATCAAAATGCAAGTTATAAATCTAAACAAAAGCATAAATGTAAATTTTAATGCATAATTTATGCCTTGGTTTTATTTGTTAATACTTATTTTAGTACTTGAAGCTCTTCTTTGCTGAAATTTCTTTACAAAATATATTATTTGTTGGATGTGTGTCATATTTGCATGTCTATATTACTTATCAATTTTAAAATATTTTTACAATTCATTATAATTTTAGGTCAGCTTGATTCAGAGCATGTTTGCATAATATTAAGAGTTATTATCAAAACTGCTTTATTATTTCAAAGCAAAGATAAAACAAAGACTATTGCAATTTCAATTAAATCTTTTGAGTAGAAAATACACTCATGGACAAAAAAATTAGCGCACCAAGAAATAATTGCAGGATCGTAACGAAACTTGCCATGAAGGTATATGTTGGGGAGATATGCAAATGATTAGAAATGCAGTGTGATTGCGCATTACGTATAGCCGGTAGAGGGCGTTGAATCTCGTACTCTGTGGAGTACAAAACAGGTAACCAAAGCTTGTTTGAGGGTGCTGAATCATTTACAAACATGGACCTTATAAGAGATAGACTAACCCAGTGGGCGGGGCACGCGTCACCGACATGTCCGCAAGAAAGAGTAGGGACGATCTGGTTTACTTTAACACTGAAACCTATGGCGTTTGTATCACATAACTCTTTTTAATTATTAAATGTGATACGTTGTATAGTGATGAGATTATGAAAGCCACAGTTTTTTTCCAAATAGGATTTAATGTCTCATTAAAGCACTTTTTACTGCATTTCGCTCATCTTTTTCATGCGTAATTCTTCTAAAAACATCTTTACTTTGAAGCTCTTAAAACTCTAAGCACAAAATTTATGAACTTAATTTAGCTTAAAAATAAACTAAAATTAAATAAGATTGATAGTACGTGATGCTTTGAAATAAATAAGGTAAAATTAAACAAGATCTGTTTTTTTTTTTTTTTTAATTATTTAATGAACATTTTCAGGCAGTGATTTTTCAAACTATAATAACATTACAAAATGTTCATATTTATTTGATTATATGATCATTAAATTATTAACATTAAAGTGGATTAGTTATTTTAATAATTCTTAAATTTCTAAGCATAAAATTTTCTAAGCGTAATGAAGGGAAAGAAAAAAGATAAAATAAAAACTAGAAGCACTCAGATTTTATATTACGCCCAAAAGGAAATTTTTTTTTAAGTTTTGTGTGTTACCTATATTTATTGAATATCATGTTCTTCGTCCATAAACCACATACATTTGAAAACAGCATATCTTTAGAATTTCCACACTGGACATAAAACTGTTATTTTCCATAGAGTGCTCACTCTGAACTCGTTGATTTTGTTAATAAAAAATTCGTTAAAGTTTTACAAAATATTAAATAGAATAAAACAAATTCGAAATTTGGCCGTCCAGATGCCCATCTTCGAGTGGAGGATTACATTATTCAAAATTTGATGATTCTAGATACTGTCGTTTTTGTCACAGTGCAAGAAACAAACATGTATTCATGCAGATTCTTCATTATTTAATTTCTTAAATATAATACAGGACGATAATATTTGGTAACAACAATTTGCAAGGAGACACGGACATTTATAGTGAAACAGCGCAAAATGCCGCTTCAAGCTAATAAATTAAATTATCAGTAAATAAAAAAAATCTTATGCAGAACTAAAAATAAATTTAAAAAATAATCACTATAAAATACAAGCAAAATAAACTATTATGGTTAAATACAGTTTTAATATTAGAATTAAATGTATAAAAATTAAGGAGTCAAAAGTGTTTATCACTATGATGTATTATGAAATATAATTGAAATAAAATTCCTTTATAGAAATTGTGCTATAATACTCATCTATAATTTTAAAAAAGCAGCACAATTTAGAATTTTATTCAAAACTTTCAAAAATTCGTTTTTAAATATTTTAATATTTTTTACTTATTTACACCAATAAAAAGCATAAAAATTGCTAGAGAAAATTTCTTGTTTGAAATTTTCTATTAGTTCAGATTTAAAATATAATTTTCTAAAAGAAGTAGTTACAAATTTCCTTACTGCATAGAAAAAGCTAAAGGAATATCCAGCCCTGAAAGCATGCAATAGCTTTAATTATTTGGAAAGTTAATTATGCTTGATAAATATGCTAAATTTTTAAAAATCAATCTCAATTTCAAAAATAAAAATATGTAGAAATTCTAATTTGTGAAATGAGGCGCTACAACCAGCTTTTTCTTGACAATTATACATGCTGCAATAGGCAACCAATGTTAAATTTCTGCAAGTCGTCCCTACTCCTTCGGATGTGATCAAAGTGACAGCCGGCAACGCCTCAGATGAAGGAGAAAACCCGTTTGGGTTAGTCTATTTCTTATAAGGTCCATGTTTACAAAGGAAGAGCTGAAGTAGACATGCCATTACGCGGTGTTCGAAGACAATATGAGCAGTTGTTGCAGTTTGAGAGGGGGAGAATTGTCGGGAGGATGGGTGGTCAGCTAGGCGAGTAGCTCATGAATTAGGCCACTCTGATTTTGTTGTGAGGAGGTGTTGGGACCAGTGGACCCGAGAGATGTTATATACACGAAGACCAGTTGTCGAGAATGCCACCACATCGCAAGAAATGCACGCGTACAGCCAACTGCTTCATCGGCCAGCCACCATCCAGGCAGTAAGCCACCACATCGTAAGAAATGCAAGCATACAGCCAACTGCTTCATCGGCCAGCCACCATCCAGGCAGTAGTAATCCTACCTTCAGTAGGGGCCCTGTGTCTTCTCGAACCATACAAAGGCGCCTGGCTGAAGGACAGTTGGTATCGCGGCACCCATTATGTGTGCTGCCCATGATGCCCACCCATCAACGCCTCCGTTTGGAGTGGTGTCGAGCACGAGGAAACTGGACTGCAGTGGAATGGAACCAGGTCGTCTTTAGCGACGAATCCAGATTCAATCTCGGTAGTGATGACAATCGTGTTTGTGTGTGGAGAGCCCAGTGGTAAATGCCTCAATCCTGCCTTCGCTGTACAGCGACACATTGCTTCCCACAGCTGGTGTGATGGTATGGGGTGCCATTGCCTACAGTACACAGTCACCCCTAGTATTGTTCTGTGGCACCATGACAGCCCAGCTGTATGTTCATGAAATCCTGCAACCACATGTATTGTCACTCATGCAATGGCTCCCAGGAGCCATTTTTCAGCAAGACAATGCTCGGCCTCATACGGCAAGGGTGTCACAAGACTGTTTCCTCACTGTTACTACCCTTCCTTAGCCTGCCCAATCCCCAGATTTGTCTCCAATCGAGCATATCTGGGATCATTTGGGACGACGAGTTGGGCATCCCATGAGTTTGAATGAACTAGAGGCAAGGTTACAGCAAATATGGAACAAAATGTCTCAAGACATCATACAGAACTTGTATGACTCAATGCCTGATCGTATCGCATCGTGGATTTGCGCTAGAGGGGGTCCAACGGAGTATTAACTCCTCCGTTCTTTTGCCTTCTCTGAAATAAATTATCCTTTTTCTTTGATTTTCTTATCATTTACTTATATCAAAGTAGTCATTACGTATGTAAAATTTCGTTTCATTTTGACGACTCCTTCTTGGTGCACTAATTTTTTTGTCCATGAGTGTATATTCCTATCTTTTATATTAAACACTCTTTTTTTAATTAATTTCGTCTCCTACTTTACTGCATTGATTGGGTATCAAGCCCTCGTGTATCATAAATTCTGATTGTTATTTTCACGTTTTCTGCAGCAATCTGTTTTGCAGTAGGTCTGAAAATAATGCTGCTTTATTATTTTTATCATATTTACATCTCTTTCAATCTTTCTGAATTTTTGCCTTTGAATCGCTTAGCATCAAAGAAAGAAAAACAAAAATTATACCCAATATGAACTTTATTCTTTCTGTTTAAATTAATTGTAAAACTCATATAAAATTTCATGTGTCTGAATTATGAGAGGCAAAGTATTTGAGATAAAATGCTCCTTTTTCTAGAAATATCTGCTGCATTATTTATTATATTAACAGTTAAATTTTAAGCTAAGCATTTTAAAGTAGCAGGAATATATTTTTCAGAGAAACTTAGAAGGACATGTATGGGATGTTTATTCCTGTCGATTCTTTCCATCTGGCATAGTAGTCTTATCTGCTGGTGCTGATATGCAGTTGAAAATATGGGCTGCAGATACTGGCCAATGTCCTGTAACACTGACTGGTCATACAGCAGGTATTTTTTCTTACTCTTCATTTTACTGGTAACATAGTTAAACATACCATTCCCAAGTACAAATTTAGTTTAAAGGAGAATGTATATTAAGGTTGAGACAGTGCTTTTTAGAACAGTTATAACTACTGCTGCAAGAGTGTATTTAGTATAAATGTTTTAATTCTCAACTGCTTCATGCATCAATTACATAGATATTCATTTAATGCAATTGAAATTAAATATGTCTAAAAATTTTTATACCATGAACATCTAACTATATTTTAGCATAATATTAAAACATTGTTATTTTCCTTGTACAATAAATGCAGATGGTTATAGGTAACTAGAAAGCCCAATGGTCATATGAAATAATCACTGTTCTAGATATTATAAATTGTAATTAAAATGATTTGTGCAAAGGTGTCTGTTAATTCAAACTGAATTATCCAGGGTAGGCGGCGAGGACACCCCTTTGCTTACTGTCCCATGGGGTTTCCCCCTTCTACTTGCTTAATTGCTTAAAGTAGAGTGCAATGAAGGAAACCACTGGCGGTACATTTCTTAAGAGCCACCGCTAGCTCAATAAATAAAGGTGATTTAAATAATAAAATGTTAATTCACATGTCAAAGATCTCTTTGTACACAACATTTCTTGCGTAGATCTCTCCATCATTTTTAAGCTGGCCTTGCAGAAGACCATCAATTATTTTTAATTTTACATCCATTCTTTCATGAACTCTTGAACAGCCAACATAAAGTTCACCATGACCAAATGCAGGCTCAGGTAAAAAAATGCCAACACGCTTAAGCGTTTGGCCCTGAGACTTATTGGTGGTCATAGCAAAGGCAAGTTTTACAGGAAATTGCCTATGCCTCAATTGAAACGGCAACCCTGTGCCTTGGCAACTTCACCCCATTGGTTAGTACAGTTACGCGAGCAACCAATAAACTATCGGCGACAAACAGACACTTAAGCTGCATATAATAAAGATATTTATTTATTCCATTTTATTTGTTTTTCATCATTGCCGGTTTTTGCCGGTTGCATATTTCTGAATTCTATTATATATAGATGTTAAATTTATTTATTAAATGCACATGCTCTTGTATTTTTAATTTTTCTGGCTTAGCTTTCTCATAATATTCGTCTTGCGCTGCACTGCATGGGGAATAAAACAGTTTACAGTTACACAAGCAACCAATAAACTATCGGTGACAGACACTTAAGCAGCATATATATATAAGATATAAGGTTCTATAATCTGTTTATAATTAATAAATTAACTATTAAAGAAAATTGTATAATTAATATTAAACAGATTAGGAATTAAAAATACATTTTTATTGATTATTTTCTTTAATTTAATTTCTGAATAAAAATTGTCATCATTAATATGACTGTGCATTTATATCTTTTAACATAACAGAAAATTTTTGAAAAATAAGTTGCTAAAATTTTATAAACTAGTAAAGCTAATACAGCCTATATTTATTCCTGATAAAATGATTAAATAAAAAATTGCACATTTTATTTGTTAACTCTACCTGATTATGAAATAAATGTGATATTTAAATTTTTCCTTATTTCTTATTTCAGTATTTGAATATTTATGTGTTTTGATTATTCATTTATTTCATTTTTATATTTATGCTATAACATAAGTTAATAAAAAACATTATTTGAATATTTGCATATTTTAGCTATTTATATATTTCATTTTTACTTTCTTGCAATGACATAAGTTAATAAAAAAGATATTACTAGCCCCTTTTTATGGATTATTTTGAATAATAATTCACAATAAGTTTTTCTCCTGTACTTAATTTTTATTAATTCTCATAATAACAGTGGTATGACTATTATTATGACTACTAGTATTATCAAGAGGATAGCAAAATTTTATACCAATATTGGCATATAATTTATTCAAAAATGCAAATTGTTGTCTTTTTATAGTTTTATTTGTTATGAATTTTGTATTCATAACAAATTTTAGTGAAATTACATGTAAAAAGCTTTATCTAATATAAAATGTAACATAAAAGATCTCAAAAATCCAAAGCTCCACCGAAAAAATAAATTACTGTTTATTAAATCCATTTAAAATTGTGGTAAATGCTTATTTCGTTAAATTGGTGAAATGGCAGTGGTTTTGGTTACTAAATTTTATCCTTGAATTTGGCAAAAAATTGCCAAATATAATTATCAGTTGTCTTATCTGTATGCAATTGTAACTGTATCTGGCCATATATAACTGTAACTGTGTATGCCTTCTAGAATTTTGAGCAATTGAAGGTACTGGAAATTTTTTGGTGGTTAGGGGAAAACTGTAGAAGATCGGAGGGAGCTTCAGTTCTCAGTTTAGTTCAGGGTATTAAGAGATCACTGTGGGAGTTTAAGGCACTTGAGGCTTTTTATATTGTTTTCTGCTCAACGTTCTTAGTAGTGTGAAGTGCTAAATACTGACTGGGCTCCGTCCTACTGAGAAGAGCTTTGCAAGTATTTTTGTAGAAAATTCTAAAACTGAGAAGTGTTTCATTTGGGACATGATTCATATGCACGTAACAGTTTGGTGTTAGAAGTGGAATTGAATGCCAGTGACAAAAGCATTGTCACAGGCATTCAATCCCACTTTACCAGTTGCCACTAGTTTTCGTAGGAGCAAATATGACAACTGGTGACAGACTTTGTTGTATTTAAAGAAGGGCCAAAAAGGATGGAAGGAGTCATCAAGTTTGTTAATTCAAGATGAAAGCAGGCTAAGGAAAGATGGAAGGGTCTAGTCTTTCTTCAATTCCCCATATTTTGCGTGAAACAAAAATCTAAGTTTATAACGGAAGTTCTTAATTAAGTATGTAAGGTATTTATGTTTAATCACTATAATGATTTATTTTGCTCAAAGTTTGACATAATGGATTTATGTGTACACAAGCAATGGTTTTTATTTTTCCATCCTCCAGCTATCACAGACACTGCTATTGTTGATCGTGGAAGAAATATTATTTCTGTATCTAAAGATGGTACTGCTCGTTTATGGGACTGTGGAAAATCTGCGTGTCTTGATATACTTACCAAAGAAAATGGCAATATTAATTGTTGTGCTATTGCTGCAGTAGATATAGATGTTGGTCATTCTGAAATTCCCCCAAGTGAGTTCCTTCATTTTATGAATTGTTTCATGTGATGTGTTTTTTATGTTTAATCCATTTTAAAGTTGTCAATTTTTTTGCAATGGTAAATAACTTTTCTGTCCACAACTAAGAAAATTACTGATAAATTACTAAATTTAAGAGTAGCCCATTTAATTCCTGATTTTAATTTAGCTGCATTCCTTTCAAAGAATATGTACTGCGTTACTTTCATCTGCAATGATCCGCAATGCTATTAAAACTTTTAGGTAATCACCATTCGAAACTTAAACAAATGATTGTGATCTTATTTATAGGCTTTTCGAAAGTGCACATTCTCATTTTCAACTTGCTCCGAATAGTTTCTTTGCTTAGCTGTATCTTGTATTATTTAAAATGTGGTCAGTGTATATAGAATTAAAGGGGCTTGTTACACTCACAGTGATTTGAAGAAAAGAAAATGTTTCTTAATTATTCTTCGATGAAATAAAATTATGTATCGTTATTATCTGCAAAGTATTCAATGTTTGCAAGTTTTTTCTTCTATCGTGTATGTTGTTCATGTGCAAATGACATCTCTGTACAACATCTTAGCCATGATTAAGAAAAATAATGCATTCCTTCTCTCTTCAAGTCATCACTAATAAAAAAAAAAATCTGATGTGTGCACCACATGACTTCCTTGTACGGAATATTAAATTATATCCATTTTTTTGTATGGAATATTAAATTATACCCATTTTTTCTTGCATTTCATTTAAACTTATTAGATTGCATTAAATCTACTTTGTCTATAGCGCATAAACCACAATAGAATAAATGCACTCTTTAAAATTTGCTATATTTGTTTACCATAGTGACCCTCTGGCCCTAGGTTCACTTAACAGCGTTATATTTCGTTCATTTTTTAACTATGTCTATGTCGTTATGCAATTAAGAGGCAATAGGTTTAGTGCGGCCTTTACCAATATATTATAATTTGGGTGTCTTTAATGATGAGTTGAATTCAGTAAGATGGATACTTTTTGCACCTAGTGCATAGTCTCTAGAAAAGAAGTAAACGTGGCGCCATCTTTTGGCGAAAATTGTAAGCGTGAGCGGGGCTGAGACCCGAACTCACGATGTGAAGATCTGTAGCTTGAGGATTTCTGCCGCTCAGTTATGCTTGTCTTGGGAGAAGTGGCAAATCAATCTTCATCTGCAAAGTTCAAAATAATCTCGATGGCTTGAAAGGCTAGACAAAGTTTCTGCATATTTGATTTAGCTGATTTAATTCTCTGAGCTATTGTGGTTATTGATTTCATGAGATAAAGGGTTTTCTGATCTTTGAAAATGTTAATGATTTCTGCTAAATTTTTCTGCAGGTTTTTCTGCTTAACTTTGTCACTGTAAAGTTTTTTAGGCATTTCTTGATCAGTTAGGGCTGAAGCTTGAATGAATTCGTAAGTCATCTTTAGTGGGAATTTCTTGTGGTTTTTCTATCTTCTCTAAATGATTGAATCTTTTTCTGTATACCTTACAAACACAATAAGAAGAAACGTGATTTTCGTGATAGTAAATGCAAGTTGGGTTTTCATCTGGTTTTAATTTACAGGTATTGGAATCTGTGATTTTGTCCGCACTTACAGCACCTGACCTTTTTTAAAGCAGCTATATTTTGGGAGTGCCCGAACTCCTGGCAATTGAAACATTGAATGGGGCGTTTCCTGGGCTGAATATTTTTCTATTGTGATATTGAATCCAAACATATTGTTTAATTGATGAATTTTTCTCTCCTGCAGGAATTTCTTTTTAGTTCAAGGAAAACTATAGGTAAACGGATAATTTGGTCTTCTGCTTTCTTCATGAATTGCTTTACTTTAATTATAGGGAAGCTTCTGCATTCTAAGTCTGCGTAAATTGCTTGCTCTGTGTAGGATCTTGAGATATTCTTAAGTATAACTTTAATTGAAGAGGCTGAGGAAATTTGGTAGGTATGAAAACTAATCTGTGCTTTCTGGAATTTATCAACTGTAGCTTTATAATCGACTTTGGTGGTAGTGTAAAGGAAAATCTGTCTGGCTTTGATTGTAACTTCAAATTCGTTTTTACATATTTCCCTGAGCATTGTGTCTATTTTAGGCCAATCAACATCGTTTTACAGAATAATTAATAAGGGAATTTTCGTTTTATTTTCTGGGTTATTCTGTGTTGTAGTTGTCTGCGTTTCATCTGTAACTTCCATAGCTTCGTTATTTTCGTTAAGAGTTTCAAATCTGTTATTTTGCGGAATATCTGGTGGTGGGATAGATTCCTTATTTTTCGTTGTTTTCTTTGGAATTTGCCAATCGTTCTGATTTATTGTTTTATCATCTGTTTTAGAATTTGCGAGCTTCGGGGTGTTCTGAATGCTTGCTAAAATTGACTGATTTTATTGAATTTCTTCTTGTAACATTGAATGCATTTCAATCACTGGTGGGGAGGTAAATGTCTTCATAGACTCAATACAGTTTAATTTATCGGCGATTTCGTTTTCTAATTTGAGTGCGAGATCTTTTGGGCTAGTCAGAAGCTGAGTATTAAGATATTCTTGCAAGATAGCTTCTGTTAAATTAGGAAACACTTTTCTGTGTTTGTTAACTACTGCTGCAAAATTTGAAGGGGAGGGTTTGAATTTCTTAGTATTATCGACTATTTTCTAAGGACTTCCTGCGGTTTTCTTTTTTTTTCTCTGGGATTTACTTTTTTTAGTTTAATCGCAAGCTTCATATTATAACTCCATCATTTTTTAACTCAGAATGCACAAAATGTATATCATCTTAAGAATTATCTAATCGCTGCCACATGTTCTGTTCAAATACTATAATAAATCTAAAACGATGTGTAAAAGAAATTAAGCAAAGAACAACAACAAAGAAACAGTTTTTCACAGACGATTCAGTATTTCTCATTCAATTAATTCAGTTCTCACTGTGCGACAAGGCAAAAATACATTAAAACTTAAGATGTCTGTATTGAAAATTATGAAGTAAATCATAAACACTTATTTCCTCAAATAAATTCCAGAATGGATTAACCCTTTGACACGTACAATATTATTTTTATAATTTTTTTTAACTAAAAACTCTAGAAATTGAATATTATGATCCTAGAGACAAATAATATATGAATTTTAAAAAAATCTACTCTTGCCCATTGTTCTGTGGGTGGTGGTTGCACTGTGAAACCACCACGCGTCTAGGACTTTGAAACTTAGTGAGATAGTAGGGAAAAAAAACTTACCTTTCTCCGTGTGCGTTTCCAATAAATGATAAAATTTAAGAATTTAAGAAAAATGTATGTCAGAATTGCATTATATATATTTTTTTACATTATTTTAATTATTATTATTAAATAGTAAAAAAAAAATAAACATTTATGTAATTTTTCTATAGCAGTGAAAATATAAGTACTTACATAATAAGGACGTTTGGCTAAATGGATAAAAAAAAAGACTCGGTGCTGTTTTTTTTTTTTTTTTGTTTGTTTGTTTGTTTGTTTGTTTGTGTGTGTGTGTGTGTGACACTGTTCAAAGCATGTTTTGTCTTTTTGGTACATGCATAGACCCACATTGCAAGTTTCGCACATGTATCTTCTTCTATGGTGTTTCTTCCTTGTGCTAGCAAATGTATACTGCCTGGATTTAAATTTCACTGGTATATGTCCTGCGTTATTTAATTTCTTTTCATCTGGCATGTGACATTTTTTTTTTTATGTTAATTGGGGGGCGGGGGCTTGGTCTTTGGCTTTGGCACGGATCATTCGTTTCCCATTCATATTTATTTTATTCGTATTTCATCCCAAAATATCCAGAAAATATTTTTAATTTAAATAAAACTTTATGCAATTTCTATTTTTAATTATAGCAAAGTATATTTACATTAAATTTAAACCACAGGAAATAATTTATAAAATCACAATACTTGCTTCTTGCTATCCAGGTAAAAGTAAACATTCCTATTTGAAAAGCAATCAAACGCCATTTTGAAGAGCAGTGGTTTCAAGGCTCGACCACCGAGCCTTTAGAGGACTGGGAGCATTGTGGTACAATGCTCTAGTGGCGCAGTTGTCGTGCCCTGAAACCACAAAGCAAATGGCATAAATATAGATAGGCTTTTTTTTTTTTTTTTTTTTTTTTGCAGTTTAATTATTGCAATTTTTTATTGTTCACGATAGAAATCATGATGTGTGATGAATAACTTTTGAAATTTAAAGTTGTTTATACGGTCAAAATTCGTTAATCCGGATAAGATAAGGATAGTGCTGACAGATCAACTTCCAGTTCATTGCGTGCCGCAACGTTTCCCTCACCCCGCAGAGCAGTGTGAAATTGATAAACAGATTTCAGAATGGTTAGAGAAACAAAGGTTATGTCTTTATCCATTTTTTGCAGCAATTCCACTTTTTGTTTGATGGACACTGAAACATACTTTTGCTTTGGAGATCCTTTGGCAGCTCCAGAATTGGAAATTCTATTTGACATAATTGAAAGTTCAAGTTTACTTTTATAAAATTGCTCTGACAGTCTGAAAAAAATAATAAACCGCATCCAATTCGAAGATTAAGGAACAACGCAATCATCAACATTAACTGAAATAGAAAATTAGATAATTTCAACATATACCGTCCGTTATACATAAAACGCACACGCGAAAACGTATTCTGCACTTGCGCACACGCATATGCGCAATCGTAAAGGTCTTACGCGCACGCGTAAACGCCTATGCGCATGTGCCAATGCGGCGCATGCACAGAAAGTTTTTAGCTTTGAGGTCTGGATTATAGATCATTCCGGATTATGGGTGTCCAAATTAACGACTTTTGACTGTCATAATAAAAAAGAAGTCATTTTGTCTCATTGAAAACGAATTTTAAAAGGCATCCGATTTGAAGTACTAAGACTTAAAACATGTATATTTCTGCAGTCATTTTTTGTTATTTAGTGGTCAAAGACCAGTAATCAATTCATTTTCACTCAAAAGTTTCGGAAAGAGGAGAAAAAAATTCAAAAATTGGTGGTTTCAGGGCACGACAACCACACATTAAAGGGTTAAGCATGATTTAATTCACAATAATAAAAGAAAACATTATTGGGAAGCTTACTTTCTCTAGATAGGCAACAAATCTACTATTCTGCTGTTTCAAATGTAAACAAGCAATGGCCACCATGAAAAAAATTATTAGGCTTAGCGGCACTTAAACAATTTTTAAATTGTTGATAATTGCATACAGATTTACTAAAGGCATGAAAACCTTAACCGGAAGATAAGAACAACATAATTCAATCATTTTTAAAGCAAAAAATGCACAATTTATAAACATATAAGAATAAATAAACTGAGATCACTGAGCCGAAAAATAGCCGAGTAACAGAGTGGATATATATATATATATATATATACATGTATTTATATACTTTTGGTGCAGCCGATTGCAGCCAAAATACGAGGTGCACATCTACATGCTATAGCAGTCATATATACAAAATTTCAACGTTCTGAAGCTACTCGTTTTTGAGTTATGCAAGATACTTACGTACGTACAGACAGCATGAAAAATTCTCTTTAGAATTCATTTTAAATCAGTTTTGCGATTTTTTTGGGGGGGGGGAAAGAGTCCTTTATCCTATCCTTACGTACAGATGTCATGCAAAAACATCGTTAAATTGCATTCAATAGTGGTGACAATGGATATTTGCTTTGAAATATGGTGCCTGAAACTTTTCGCGATTACAATACTTTCTTTTTACTTCGTACAAGGAAGTAAGAATATCACACATTTATATAAATTCGTATAAAAAAAAGTGAAATTCTTACAAGACTTTTTTTTTTTTTTTATGATTTTATAAAAATGTGATCTTTTTGCAAATATGATCTCTCTGAAATGGCTGATTAGAATTTCAACAAATTGCATAAACCTTATATCTGTATAAAATGACCAGTTTTTGTGTTCTGATATAAGAACTTTTAAGACTATACTTAGATTTGAAATCATATGAAAGTTTAAAGTTATTACTCTTGATTGTCTCAAGTAAAATTATGATGACTATATGTGCAATGTAGTTTAAATACAAGTATGTAACTGTGCATGCCTACAAATTTTAACTAATAAATATATTTTTATCTTTTCTTTACTGATATTAAAAAATATGCATTTACAGAATTTGAAAGTACTTTTATCTTTAAATTAAGTTTTCTCGAAATGTAATTTTCTTGATTGCATGCATAGTTTTCTGAAGTTATTAATTAGAATTTCAAAAACTTTTGACCCATTATATAAACTATGTATGAGTATAAAATGACCAAAACTATTGTGCTTCTTGCATAATAGCTTAGAAATTATGTTTGGTTTCAGTTTTGCATTTTCAAATATTTGGAGAAGAGAATAACTTATTTTTTGTATATAATTTTAATTTTACTTTTGTTCCTAATTTGAAATTTTCCATTATGCATCTGCCATGCATTTTAGCAGGTGTTTCACCTGTAAGCAATTTCTGGTTACAAGAACAGTTTATATATACACACCAAAGCTGTGTTTGGCTTCTCTGTCACAGATGTGAAAATGTGTGGCAGGTGCATAATGGAAAAGTACCCAGTTTCATATCAATGGCAAAGTAATTTATTTTAAATATCTGAAATGTAAACATAGCAAATACAATATAATGGGTATCGAAGTATGCATACAGAATTTCTTGATCATAGTCAGTTAATTATAAAGATGTTAAGTTTTAAATTAAAATTGAAAATTTGATGTATATTTTGATGTTTTATAAGTACTTGACCAATTAGATACATCTTAAATTTTGGTACATTAAAATCATCAAATATCAGACATTAGAGCAATAAAATATTTAACCCCTAATTTATATGTAGCATATTTAGACCCCTGCTGTTTTCATTTCTCTACCAGAAGCATTTAATTTTTAAGCTCCTTCGACCTAATGTGAGTATGAGAATTTAATGACCTTACATTATTTATTTTAAAATATTTGTGTACCCATAAAAATCATTTGAGAAAAAAACACTTTAAATTTACAATATTATTTGTTGTTTAGAAAATAAATATTCTGTAAAGCCTGTGAAATGTTAGATTTCTAACTGGTTTACCATCTTTACTGTTATTTTTATTAAAATAATTTTCTGTTCATAGCTTCAGGAAATCAGTCAATTACTTTCACTTTTGGGAGTTTATTATTACACAATATTAATATGTGGTGATTTAAATTGGGAACAAGATCGTTTGATAGATGTTGATTTGAAAATAGATTTATTTATTGCTATGTAGTATACAGTAAAATAAATCAGAAACATTTACTGGGTTCCCCCCTTTAAATTTCTATATGAAAACAAGGATTACAGAAGTACCTGCTAGGAGTATAATGATAAATTGAATAAAAATGAGGTAGAAAATATCAGTCATAAAACAAAGAGAAAGTCATTTTATTACTGTAAGATTATTTCTAAGGTTACCCGAAACATTTAACCCTTAGTTGAGGACTCAAAGATTTGAGTTTAACTAGGTTGAATGTTTTGGATTTGCTAAAATTTGGCCTCACACACCAATTGAGATAATAAAATTCGATCACTTAAGAAGTATAACTTCAAGTAATGCAAAAGTTTGCATTCTGTACTGTTGGGCAAAACAACACTTTTTTCATCAGCTGACAAACTCCACAGTTTCATTACAATTCCTTACCCCCCCCAAAAAAAAAAAATATTGCGAAAACAAATGTGAATCAGAATAATTACTGCCGAATTTGAAAGTGGAAATTTGCACTTTTCAGCTGTGCTCATGCATATTTTTGGGTTGCCAGATAAATATATTTTGCCAGTATTCCCTATTTCAGCAACATAGTGTATTGTGTCCTAAATATGTTTCAGTGAATAAGAGTAATCAGAAAGAAACATCATAACCTTTCAAGTCTTTTAAAAATTGGTGACTTGTTTCTTGTTGTGCTTCATTAATACAGTACCATGAATATGATTATAAATAATCTATGGTGTGCATATTTTAATATTTTTCACATCCACTTATGAACTTTATTTTTACTCAGTACAGATGAACGTGAGATAGCCACAGAAGGAAAGCTTTTATTATTGGGTTGCGAAAGTGGAGTTTTGAAAGGTATTGGATTACAGAGTCGTAAACAGGTAGTTTTTAATTTTGATATCCTGCTTGTCAACTGCTGCTAACATTCTTTACATATTAATATATAAATCTAATCTTGTTTGAATCTATGCATATCACATTTTACAAGTTGAATATTATACGAATATCATTTGTTTATGTGTTAGTCATTTAATTGAATTTTGATTGACATCAGTTTCCAGAAGTAAACAAAGCGTATTGCATTGAGGAACTCTACAAAATATGCAATGGTGGTTGTGTCCAGTGCAGTATCTGCTGCGCATTGGTCCTACTTCTAGTGAATATTTTTAATAATTTGGTTAAGTCACTGTGAATGATGTTAACTATGTTGTGATGATGCTCATTAAATTATCAACAATTGGAAAATTCTTCCACCATTTGTAAGGAATATCTCAATTCATTCTTGGATAATTAGTGTCATTTTGGATCATCTGGAACAAATGGCAGATCATACCTAAATGAATAAAGACGTATAATGAACTGCACTGATGTCTGAAAATATTTTATGTTAAATTCATATATACCTTGGCTCCTATCTAATTTGAAATTTTAAAAAAGATTATGGCGATGATGTTCATATGAATAACTATTATGAGTTAACAGGTAATGCTTTCATCCATTTTTGATTCTAGCAATATGTTGCAATATAAATATATGACTTTAGACTTTTGAAATCATGTTGTATAAAAAATATTTCACTACATTTTCTGATATTTTATTTGTAATCATGAAAGTTTAATTTAGTTTTTGTTTTTTCCCCTAAAAGATGCTAAAGAAATTTATACACATTGAATAATACAAAAATGTAAAAATTAAATATAAATTTCATAAAAATTTGCTGCTACTCAGTCCAGTTTATAAGTTTGCATTATTTTCAAAATAAAGTCGTAGCATTTTATGCAGTAGAAGCATACCAATTTGTAAATGTAAATTTAGAGGAAATGCAGCCTTAAATTGACATCTATTTAAAAAAATGGGAGGGAGAATGACATAGGTCTATCACTTTCAGAGAACAAAAATTAATGTCTCAGGATTTAATCAAATCAAAAATTATTTTAATTTATTACAAACAAGAAGTTTAATATTTTCTGTGTTTTTTCTATATTTTGATATTAGAAATATCTGTAGAAAGTGAATAAACTTAATTTAAATCTAAGTACATCATATACATAAATAAATTTTTATTCATTGAAAATTTACTTATGAAGCACTAATAATAAAAGTCCTTTACATCAAAGCATGAAATGGATTTTGAATGGCCATGGTAAACTATTGATTTGAGCATCCATTCAAACTCTTCAATGCCTGCTGTTTATGTTTATATTATTTTTAAATTAGTCAAACAGTTTTTGAATGGAAAGAAATGTTTTTAGTAATTTAATTTTTTTTTTCATTTTTTAATTAATTTGTTAGTTATAAACCTTAATTCTTGTCATGTGTTTTCTTTTCACCCAGAAATGTGTATTATGATAGACAAATTTTAAGCTTTTTTGGAATATGCTGATTTCCCCCTCCCTTGATGAATAAACAAAGCTTGCTTAATTTCTAGTTTTTTTCTCCTTTCGTAAAAGTAAATGGAATCTAAAGAAGGTGTAATTAACTTCCCCCCCTTTTCTTTGATGACTCAATATATTTTCCCCCAATCAATCCCTAACACAACAGGTAGAAAATAAAACAAGTATAATTATTTACTCTGACCTTGTGCACTTTTCTGGTGAGAGCAAGTGTCACAAGACTGCATATTGAGGAGGAAGATCTGAAAATTATTTATAAATGTTTTAAAATAAATTATCTACTTGCCATAGTTTTTGCTTCAAAATAATTGGATTGATTTATTTACATTATGGCAGTTCACAAGACATTTCTTTGCCTAAGGTAAAAGATTTCTTCGTGGAAGGCTTTTTAAAGGAAAATGGCTGGTATTCGTATTAACATGAAAAATTTCCATGCAGGCAGTCCGCTTTCTGGTATTTTAAGCTGGCTTGAATTATCAGCAGTTTTACCACCTGTAATAATAATAATAATTTTTTTTAAATAAAGCTTAGTTTTTCCCTAGAAATTAACATGAGAATCAGCATATGGAGATTGAATTCAGTATTTAATCATTTAACTGTTTCATTACATATAAACTAAACCCCAAATCTTTTTTGCCTTGCTAATTTCTGTAATAATTTTTTAAAAAATATTTTCTTTTAATGTTCATAAAATAGTTTTGCAGAAGTCTTATATTTTTTACTATAGAATATTTAGGATGTTGTAAAGAAACTAAATCTTTATCTAAATGAAAATACGTTTAAAAGGATGTATTCAAATTATATTATTTCTTCCCTAAAAATAAAATTTAATAGTTTGTTTAATAGCAGTCTTGTCTGTAAAATTTATTAATCTAATTAAATAATTAAGGCTTTGTATTCCTTAGTAACAACAATTTTCTGATTTAATTTGTAAGCAATAATTTCATGTACTGATTTACAGTTAGCATATTAATTAACACTTGTTTACACTTTGCAAGTAAAGCACTTGCTTTTGCCTTATCTCAATTATGTTGTGTTAGTGTTAATTAAAATTTATTATAATTGTAATTAATTTTTCTTTTGTCATAGATCTTTGAGTATAAATGTGATTCTGCCATAAACTGTTGCTGTTTCACCTCATTTACTGCTGTTGCATTTGGCACACAAGATGGAAAAATGACTCTTTTTGATCTTCGTGCTAGGTGAGTCATTTTGTCAATAAAGCAGCTAATTTAAAGCAGTTAAATTAGCGTGCAGAAGTCTCCATATTTAAAAACTAATTTTTTTTCTTAATGTCGTCTTTTATTTTTTGGTACCTAACCACATTATATTTTTTTAAACGCATAATCACATTTCATGTTTATATGAATTTTCAATGCAATTTTAATTCATAGTTTAGGATTTTTTCACCCATTTCTTAATTATCAATTAATTCTTTTCAAAATTATGATGTAGTATATACAGCATTACTTAAAACCAAAAATAGGACTAATAAACTTAATTTAAATCTAAGTACATCATATACATAAATAAATTTTTATTCATTGAAAATTTACTTATGAAGCACTAATAATAAAAGTCCTAGGAATAAAAATAGGAAAAATATGGAAACATGAAATAAAATATTTTTCAATCTATGTGAAATCTCCTGTCATAACTAGTTGATATGGCAACAGTCTGGTGTTAATTCTGCAGTTTTATGACAGTCAGTCACATATGATATATAATGAAAGCGATTATATATTAATGTGTATCTTGCTAAATGTGAGAAATAGTCCGTAATTTAAATTTAGGTACAAATATATACACATAAGTTGTGTAGGTGTATAAATTAGCCTTTTGGGTGCTATGTTTTGCTCCTACTTTCCTCCGTATAAATGAGATTTTAAGGATTTAAGTAACTGAATAGTCAATATCTTATCTGCTTGGCCACTGATTGGCACTACTAATCAAAAATACTTAAGATGGGAAGAGAATGATAAATACATATGATGTGGACTGATAGCAATTACAATTAATTGTAGTTAGGCTCCCCACATATAATCTATAGATCTCACTAAGGGACAGGATTTAAAAGGATGAGTTCCACTCCTTATGGACAAATATGCTGGCAGCAGGTTAATATGTATTTAACTGATGGTGTCTAAGGAAAGATGATGATTTAATACTGAAATGAATAATCATGAATAATTAAATGTATGAGACATTAAAATATATTATGCCTAGAATCTGTTTTGCATTTTGTTTAATTATAAAAATATATATGTATGTATTTTCTCCCCTCATACAAAATTATTAAAAAATATCCTACACGATTTATATGCTCTTTAAGCATTTAATATAGCTTGAAAATGTTCTTTTGTAAGGAAGGAAATTAAATGAATATCAATTTCCTTTGATATATGTCTAAGATTATATAGTAGTTTCTGATAAATTTTAGCTGTATAATTTTTTATATTTTAAATTTCATCAAACTATTTTTCAGGTGTGAAAAAAAAAACACTTTATGATAAGTGTAGTTTAACGGTTATGGCAAAGCCATGAAGGCTATCTATTTAAGAAGGTTGTCTTCATGGAGAATTTTCTGAGAAATTCACTTTGCACATATTCACTTTCCTCATACTCATTTTGCACATGGTGAAAACTAACCATGCAGTCAGCGTGTTTCCCTGGGTTTGAACTCAAACCAGGTCAATCCGCCAGTATTCGGTGGTCTTAACAACTTGGCCATTGGTGGGGCAAGTGCAGTTTAAAATGCATGTGAAGGGATGGAGGGATATGACTCTTTTGTGAAAAAAAAAATGTGGTTGATTAATCATTTAAATTCCAGACATTTCTTGAGCTAAACAATTAATTTCTGATTTAAAAAAAAAATTTTTTTTTTTATTTTTATTTTTAGGATTAATACTCTTGTTAAGAACTTATATCCAACTCCTTTAATTATCTTGCAGCATATCAATATTTTCTACATCTGTTGCTGTTTTGTCTGAATTAATAACTATCATATTTTAAGTATTTCTTCTTTTAATTGCTTATGTTACACATAATCACATAAGTAACTTTTATTTACATTTAGATGATTTTTTCTATTTATGTCTCATTTTTTTAAATCTCTTTTTTATTAAGATTTGTAATAATGCTGTCTTGCTATTTTAAAAGCTGATTCATCTTTGAAATGTCTTTAAGGTTACCTGTAACTGTTTGGGAAGAATCTGCATCACCAGTACTTTGTCTAATTTCTGTTAAAAACGGGCTATTTTGTGGAAGAGGTAGTGTATAGCCATTTTATTTCTATTCATAGTGTATCTACCTTTTCAGTTTCAAAGATAATTTATGCTTTAGAGAAATATATATATATATATATATATATATAATATGACTCCCAGTTTACAGATTATGTTTTTATTATTAATTTTAATTGGATAATTCATATATAAAAAAATAATGCTTTCTTGAGAACATTCAATTTTTCCTAAATTCCTGTGTTTATTTTTTGATAAGCTAAAGTTTCTGAATGAAAGCACAGATTTAAAGAGATATGAAATGAACTCCAAATTTTTTAAACTATATCAAATGTACTGGAAAGAGTAAATTTGAAAGAGTGCATTGTAGATGATTTAAAATAATGCTATTCATATCACTGATGTAATATTTTCAACTTTTTCTGTAGAACAGTTAATTAAGTACAGAGTGCATCTGCAGAAATTTAAGACTAAATAATTATTATTAAAATCACAATGGAGAAAGCAGTATTTTTACTTCTTATCCTTCAGTATGTAACCCCTGTAGATCTGTGCAATGTTTGGCATACAGCTCCTTGATTTTTTCACAGAATTTATATTTTAAATTATTGTTTAAGGTCCTGGTCACCATTTTCTGTATATCTGCAGTGTTATAAAGACATCCGAAGTGAGACTTCACTATAAGGAAGAGAAGGTAGACTGCAGATGCCATATCTGTTTAATGAAAGGCCACAGTTAAGAATTGTGATACTTCCTTTAGTAAGAATTGCATTGTGAGAAAGGAACAATGTCAGTGCATTGTTGTGCAGGGAAAAAAAAGTTATTTGAATCAGTTTCTTCATACGTAATGTGCTGAATTTTCTGGACAAGTCTGTCCATTATGTGTTCATAAAATATGGAGTTTCATCATCTGGCTCTAGTGTAAAATTTCTTGTGAATTATTCTTTTTTAATCAAAGGGGGGGATGGTGGTGGAGGTCACCAACATGTCTTAAGATTTATGGAACTGAAATAAACATCTGTGGCTGTAGTTAAGCTTCTCCAGTTATTGATGATTTGCCATTTTGTCTCAGGATCATAAGCAAACACAAAGTTTCATCTCCAGTTACAATTTATTTGGAAAATAAGGGAATTAATGTCTGCCGTTTGGTTCATATCATGACATGTAGAAATGATCTTCTGTCTGTTCTGCAGTGAATGTATGAGGAACAAAATGAGAACAATTTTTTTCCTTCCAAGACCTTTCATGAGGAATTAAAGAGCAGTTCTTTTACTGGAATTAATCTTATTTATCAGATCTTTTCATTCAGTATTCTCATCAGCCAGGATTGCAAAGGACTACCCTCTTGGGTTCATTACTGGCTTCTTTTCATTGATAAAAAAAATATTGATTCATGTTAATGTTGATTCCTGTATGCGTTACACAGCATTTCCGATATCTCTATTGTTGTTTTTCTGCTTTATAGCAAAACTTTGTTACTATTTAAAATCTATATATTTTAACTTTCAACTCTATGACAGTATATGTTTACTGAATCAAAACAAAAAATTAACTGCAAAGAAAATTCTCTCTGTCAACATACATTATTTTAGGAAAAGCAAGTTAAAATGTTATTGCAATAAATGCTGTTAGTTATTTGACAAGTTTGCTGAATTTATTATTATTAGTAGTAGTACTAGTAGTCCTAAAATTTTGTAAATGCGTAAAATGAAAGATATAGATTTCGAAGTATCTTAGCATTTTTATCTGTTTTTAATTGTATTACATTTATCAGTTTATAATAATAAAAGAATTTGTGTGAATTGCTTAAGGCAGTGATAGAAACTCCCTATATACAAAATTTGGTATATGGTTTCTCAAAAGCGAGTCTGCATCTGAAAGTAATTTTATTTAATATTTTAAACTGAAATGATTTTCTTAATAATTGTTTGCACATTTCTTTGCTTAATAATCAAATTAATGTTTTTCAGAGTTTCATTCTTTTTACTGTTTGGTAGATTAGAAAATAGTGTTTCAAATGTAATTTATTCTAAATCTCTAATATAATTCATTGAATTTGGAGTGAATTTTCTAAAATCAGTCAATTTTTTCAATTATCATGTATCTCTTAGAGACTGGAAAGCTTTGAACTTATTAAATTTTTTCAAGCAAAAGTAATATTTCTGTAATAATTAAGTAATATTATGATTTTTAGTTTGTAAAACTCTTCATATAGAACATTCAAATTATATTTATTCTGTATTACACATTTTAACACCTTCGGTTCAAATTTTCTAATAATAATGAATACATATTAATCAATAAAAGTGCTTGGTGAACCAAACATTAATTACCAGTTGAAGCATATATAAATCTGACGGTCCTTTTGGAATATTAGTATGCCACATAATTTCTACTCAAAATATTTGAAGTTCACTGGCATCAATTGAATCATGTACTTTTTCTGTAGTATATTGTTTTAAATATGAAATTTGCATTGAAAATGTGCATAAAATTTATTTAATTCTTATTAATTCAGAATTGTATATTTTAAATATGTTTCAATTCAGTATATTAGTCATAAAACAAGTGATAAATTATTAAGTATAATGCTTTAATATATCTTATTTTACTTTTAATTGGTTTGTGATGGATTAAAAATTTCAGTAGAAACATATGAAGGGGTATTATGAAAAAAAAGGAACAATAAAATACAGATTTGGAAATCAGCTTAAGAGGGACTTGTAGTTATTCACCTAAATACATCATTCAATTTCATATCGTTTAGATAGTCTAACTTTATTGCTATTTCACATTGGGAAATATGTAGCTTGCAACATCCGGAAATTTTCAGTTATATAGCCTCTTTAAAACTCAGAATGATTTAAAAGTGAAAAATACAAAATTTGTTCAATTTTTTTCCAATGTGTTACATTATATTTCACATGCTCACATAAACATTTGCCCCTCAGGGGGCTCACTTTTGTGAGTACGGGTGTGGCAATTCCGAGGTACCCTAGCCCTTCAGGGGATCATCTTCTTGATGAGACGGGTGTCACGATCCTGGAGCCCCAGTGATCTATCCTCTTTTCCGTCTCCTCTCCTCTTGGCTGGAACTTTTTCCCTTTTCTTCTCCCTTGTGGTTTCTCTCTACGGAGTTTGGGGCTCGTTACGAGAGATTGGAACAGACCTTGTCTCTAGTTTTCGAGTGGCAAGAAAACTGCCCACGTGTTTGCCGTGCATGGAGACCAGTGTCGCTGGAAAGGAGGGTCCTGGTAGTTGAGGAGCGAGGTACTGTCCCCAACACACTGCTTGGCCTCTGCTTCAGCTAAACGGGAGGCACCTTAGTCGTCCTCACGGGTGTCAATCGGCTGGTCACTAGTCCTTGTGTCAGTGGCTTGGGGTTAAGCTCTTGAGAGTACCTGCTTTCGGGAAAGCCGACTGTGGGGCTTCAGTTTGCGTATAGGTCTGGCTAGCCCTAACAGGAATCCGTGTTCCCTTGTTGGGCTCCGTGGTGGGCGGGGCCATCGGACCCGAATTTTTTTTCCTTAACCTCTTCGCGACGGGCGAATCATATATGCATTTCGTACGGACGCATGTGAGGCCCGGGCGGTTCACCCGTGCACTCCTGGAGAACTGGCCAAGTGAGCGGGCAGTGCAGATATGCATTTTAAGCTGAAACAATTTTTAATAGCCACTGTATGGCACTCTGTGTCCATTACATTTAAACTGAACGTAGTTTTAGTATTCTGACCTTCAGATTGTTTATATTCTGGCTGTTTTTGGTATTTTGCTTGTCAGCTGTGGCTGGGGAGGGGGGGAAATCGTAATGTAAACAAACGCAGCTCGGCTCTTTAAATCGCTGCGTGCTAATAAAAACATTCTCGTATCTGATTTATATCCAATTCCTTTTTTATTCTATTTTTTTCCTCTACTTTGTACGGTCTTTTAGGGTTACTGTGCGGAGTTTTTTTACGTTTTGCATTGCCTTCAGATATATTTCCGTTCCTTCTTTTTTTATTTAGGAAAGCCTCACCTCCAGTCTATTATGACGGGAAGGAGGCACTATTTATCAGAGGAAGAATACCCTAGTATGGTTAGTGAACCATTTACTAACGCAAATGAGAGTACTGATTCATTTTCTAAGGAGTTAAAAAGTGATACTTTTTCTAAGAGTTACAAGGTGATACTTCTCTGTGCTTCGAAATTTACCACGCTCGTTTTCATTTTAAATTTTGTTACTTCTTACTGTAAATAGTCTTTATTGTGTTCTTTTTAATAATTTTAAACTTTATTGATGGATTTATCAATCAGTATTTTATCAATTAAAACTTTAGAATAATTTGAATAGCTCTTCCGAAAAGTATTATGGAAGATAAGCAATTTTTGAAGTATATTTCCATGTAAAATAAAGAAATAAATGTTTTAAGGGCTAATTTTAACATATATAAGAGCTCAAGTAATAATCTAAAATGATACCAAAAATTACGATGCTAGAAGCGAAACTTTTGTTTTTCTGATTTTTGTTATAAAATTAGGCTTAACGATGCAAAACCTCCGTCCTGTACGGTGACTGCCTTCGATTCTCTTCCGTCCCGCACGAGCGTTTTAAACAAAGGTGCGCCGTCGCGAAAAGGTTAAATATGGCTAATTCACAAATTTTTCTGATCAAAGACTTCGAAGTCACTCAAGTCGCTCAAAGTTCTAATTGCAAAAAATCTACTGCAAAAAAAAAAAAAAAAAAAGTACGGACAGATGCAAATAATCCTAATAGTAGTCTCCATTTTCTTGTTATGTCTAGTCCTTCTGGTGAGCTGCAAAAGATGTCACCTTTTGTAATAAACAAGTATATTCATTCCTGTATTGGTGAGCCGAGAAATATAAAGCGTCTCTGCTCTGGAGACTTACTTGTTGATATCATTTCAGCCACCCAGTCTGCTTCTTTACTTCAAGTCACCAAACTTGGGCAAGCAAATGTCACTGTGACAGCACATAAGACCTTGAATTACTGTCGTGGTGTAATCTCGGAAATCGACCTTCTGTGTGTT